TCTGACATGTAAATAGGTGTCTTTTGGCTCCCTGAGAGTTAAGAGGGTGTTTTACACCTGGTGGTGGAATTCGGAACAGTTTCACAAATCCCAGCTTTGTGTCTCTTTTGCTTTTCCTTCTGCTAATTGTTTCTTCTTCCTGGATTTCCCGTGAGCTCAGCTCTCTCCACAGAGTTGTGATAAAACACTTATTTCCCCCGAGGTTTTGACACGAATTTCATGGGAAGCTTCATTTTAAGTCTCGTGGAACCAGGGATAAACTAATTAGTGGGGGTTGCAACAGAACAGAGTGTATGAAAATACCAGGTAATCAATGGTTCAGTGACACCATCACATCTACAGTGTGAGATTAATTACAGAAAAATCATAAAGCTCTCAATTTAAATAAGTCAAGGCCAGGTTGGACAGGTTCTGTCACTGGATTTTTGGTACTGTGGACCTACTTTTTTTCCTGGAGTGGTGTCTGTCCAGTGCCCTTTTTATGTTGTACTACTAGTGATCATGCACAAAAAGCAGTGCAATGTTAAAAGGGCATTGGCCAGCAATGCTGTCTACGTTATGTTCTCATTTTTGCTACAGTCACACGTCCAAAGTCACTGTCTGAGACCAGGAGGTGATTTGCAAAACAGCTCTAAAATAGTTTTGAGTTTTCTGGGTGAACACCGTCCAGCATTCTTAGTTCTTCTCCACTCCATCCCCAGGTTTCTTTGCATTTTGTTGTTGAGGATCTCAGCACCTTCAAACCCTGAGAGTTCTCAAACATTCAATATGAAGTTAAGAAAAAAACCACTTTCATTTAGATTTCTGAAATACACCCCCACAGTGATGGTGCTCTCGCAGCCAGGTGGCAACCCCAGGGATAAATGTACATCCACAGAGTTGAGAACAAAGTGTTTAAGTACATTTTAAAGTGATTCAGCACCTGCAGATTATAAAGAATAAACTGATATCTAGAAGATATTCCCTGTAATGCAGTTTTAAGAACATCTGTCTGACAGCAGTTCCGAACCTTCGCTCGCTGCGAGGCAAACCTAAGAAATAAATACATTTGGGGCTGTAGTTTCCAGTTAAAAAAAAGCACCAGAATTGCTTGAAATCGAATTTTCTGCTGAGCATTTTGTTGGGTGGCTTGGGATTTTTTTCCCTCCCCTTTTGGTCAGTGGAACGACAGAGTAATAACAATGTCTTCAAATACGTGAGCTCTCGTGTGTGTGTGTGGGGAGTGAACTTGAATATTCCCCAGTTCTTCGTGATCCACAGCAAGCACCGTGTGAGCTGATGTGTTTTACTGCCTTTTTTGAGTGTGGTGCTGATCCCTGCCCAGAGTTGTTGCTGCTAACGAGTGCTCTGACTTTATTGCACTACTGTTGTGTACAGCGAGCAGTGCAATAGTATTGTCAAAGCATCTGAGAGCAGAGCACCTTCAGCCTCCCTCCCGTGAGTAAATTACAGATTTACACTTCAAAACCTGCATTTTCTTTGGGACTGTTGGCAAATAAACTGCCTCTGAGCCAGGTGGGATTTTTGCAGGGGGGGGTGTGTGTGTGTGTTTCTGGAAATGGCAGCGAGAAATAAGTATTTATGAAATAAAAAGCGGTGATATTGGACTGGGTTAAGCTTTTCATTGAGCACAGATCTGAAAATTCCAGCCAGGTGATGAATAAGCTTTGAGCTTCACACCCAGTTTTTTCATGTCCTGGATCTGGTGTTAGTGGGTTACTGTCCTTGTGGAAATCTCAAATTATCAATATTGAATGTTTCATGGATAATTCTGAAAGCCACCTGTACCCATTGTTTGCTTTCCCCAAAAAATTAATCAAATGGAGGAGTTGGAGAAAAGCAAAAAAAATTATGTTTTTGGGGTGCCTGCCTGTGGAAATGAAAACCTTAAACTGTTTGCTTAGTGGAGGAGAAGAGAAATTATTGGGCAGTTAAGGAAAAAAATCCCTCCTGAACTCTTTAAACGTGTGTAGTGTAATGAAATGTATTTTATTCCTGGATTTTATCGTGGCTGGTTTCTGGGGCAGGTGTGGGAAGAAGTTTTGGTGGGCAGATGGTGAGTTATGGCTGTACTGGCTGAAAGCTTTTCCCTTTGATTTATAGATGCTCAAGCTCTTCACCAGATTTAGTTTCCTTTCCTTAAGCTATTATTTGAGAATTTACTGAGGGTGTGTGAAACATCACCCATCTCCACTCCCTCAGAAAGGGGGTTTTATTGCAGAGTATCCTGGATCAAACCCTATTCCTTGAGGCTGTCTGAAATTCCAGATCCTCAGAGGCATTCCTGGCCACTCCTTAAAGAAGCTGGGATGGTGACTGTGGGGTTAATCCCAACAGAAATAGTGAAAACCAAATTAAGGAAGTTACAACCATTTTTGACTTGCTTTCATCACTGTCTCTTCTGTGACTGTAAAAATCACCGAATTATTGTGTAAAAAAATTAATGAGTGGCCTGTGAACTGGGAAAACTGCCTTTCTTTACAGTGGAAGTCTTTAATAGATATTGAAATCGCAGGCTAAAATTAATTAAGTAGTAATGCTATCAGCAGGCTGGTTTACAAGGCAATTAGATAATTCTCTGGGGGCTTATTTATCCCAAGGAGAGAAAAGTGATGTCATCAATTTTATTAGCTGTTAGTCAGTTCTGGTTTATTGGGGAATAATAGAATATATTGTGGGCATTAAAACCAGCTGAAAGAGCACATCCCTGATATAATGAATAACAGAACCTCTGGTGATACTTTTGGATCCTGAACATTGCTCCTAATCTCTGCTGGGTTGTGGTTTTGCTAACAGAGCTTTGAAAATATTAAGTGTGAAAACTGTTTTCTGCTTTCCTGAAATGTGAAGGGCAAATGGTTGGGGCTTGTCTGCAGTTTTTGGTTTCTAATACACTGTGCCTGACCTTAAATATTTTAGTTCCAGAAGGCAGAAGCTGATCTGGATTGGATTCAACACAGACTGGAGTATGAAATAATGAAAAGCTTCCCTGATGATACACCACCAGAGGTAGTGTGAATAATTAACTTATTTTTTTATTAAATGCATAGATTTTACTGCATTTTCTATGAAGATGGTAACAAATGGGACTGTTCTTTTATCTGGTTGTTAGGTTTTTATTATTGTTATTATTACAAAGTATTTCCTGCATCATTTATCAAGATAACTGGCCTAGAATGAATTCAAACAAAACCCCCTTGATTTCTTGGTACAGGGAAATTCTCCCATGTTCTGCTCTGAGAAATTAGTAGTGGTAACACCTAAATTCAAGAGACAGAGCAAAGGTGTGTTTTAGCTCTCAGATCCAACTTAAACTTGCTCATAAGCAATGACTAAAATAATATTTGGGGGAGAGATGAGAGGAAGAGGACAACAATAAATGACATCACGTAAAGGATTCTATAAATACGTCCTGGTCTCTGAGTATATTGTAACATACAGCAGAAAAATCATCTTTTTTGTTAGAAATCCCCAATTTATTCTACCCCAGAAAAGCCATTAAAGGTCTCCAACACCATAAATTCCTCCTGCTGTGTTTGATATGGAACCACAGAGTTATGCTGGTTTATTAACACCATCTATGAAAAATGAAATATAGAATAGAAACACTCTCACAGCTGCACTTTTCACTGTAAAGGCTCATTTCATGTTCTGTTTTGGTGCCTCCACCACCTGCACTTTTAATTGGTATTTACCCAGATTATATTTTCTTTGCTGGTGTGGTATAAATGTACTTTTACCTTCTCCACAGGAGAATCCACTTGCTATCCTGGAAGGACTCTCAGCAGCCAGAGCTCGTTACAAAGCGCTGTGCACACGGATGGACAGGATTGCCAGGGAGCAGAAGGAAGCCATGAAGGGCATCCAAGCTTCTGTGGAGAACACAATGAAGATAGTTCAGGAATTACAGCAAAAAGCTGGTCTTGAGGTAGGTCTTTTCCTTTTAATCCCTTTGTTTTCACTCCTGGAAATGAACAGGGACTTTGAAGCCTTTACTTACTGTGAGTGGTTGGAAGCTGTTGCACAGAGTGGAAGGAGATGAGAAGATGGTTTCCCAGAAGAAATTCCTGCAGGATTGGAGCTCTTTCTGTAAATCCCAGTCCTCAGCAGTGTTCAGGCTGGGAGCTGAAGTAACACCTGAGTAGTGTCAATAATTTCATCGAGGTCTCAGAGAAATCAATGCCTTTGGGCACAGCTGTGTCCCAGGGCTATGCTGGCATCTTTTAGGACTGGAAAATGGAGGGTGAAAGCAATTTTAAGAGGCAAAAAAGCTTTTAAGTGGAAAATGTTCTTTTCACTGTCTGAAGTTAAAACCAACACATTGGAACATACAGTCTGGGATTTTAAGTTTTTCCTCAGTATGATGACACCCCTCTAGCTATTAAAGAAACCAAGAACACATTTTCCTAAGTGGTCTTCAGACACTGCTTTGTTACATTTTGAGGAGGTTGTGAAAGCATTAATTTTGTCCCTTTACAAATAAGGTGCTTTAGATCAATGTTCTAACAACACTGCCCTGAGGTTGTGTTTTATCTGTCAACAGCTCTAGATAAGGGACTGGTAAGTCTTTAGAGACAAAAGGTACTGTATCCTGACTTAAAAGACAGTACTTATATGTCACAGAAAGGAAAATATATCTCCCCATGTTCCAAGGATAGGCTGCCAAGAATAATTCTGTATTTGGATTTTGTTAAAGGGGAAGACTCTCCTCTCTTGAGTTACATGTAGAATTTTAGATAAAGATTTTCTTCTACTTTGTTCATTTCCTAAACCAGAGATGAATTAAACTGCTCTGGTGAAATGCAAGTCTTTAAGTTAAAGTGCTTCTTTTTATTGAAGAATTTATCTTACTTGAATTATTTATAGTATTGATGCTAAAGGAAGATTATGGGTGATTTTTTCAGGAACACTTTGCCTGTGAATTTGCTTTCAGCTGAAGGAAAGTAGGAGTCTACTACCAGTTTCCATGAGAAAAGGGCTCCATAAACATTGAGTTCTTCTGTAAATATCATCACCTCAGGAACTGCAGGATCAGAGTTCTCTGTGTTTGCTTTTTTTTTTTTTTTTTTTGCCTAGAGCCTACCCCTGTCAGCAGAAGAACAGGCTGCAGCACAGCAGTTGGGCCTCCAAACTGGGACAAAAACAGAATCATCAGTGGGAAAGGTAATTAGGGCACGGAGTGTCAGTATCCCAGAAACCAGGAATCCTGAGTGTAGCTCAGGAGGGCTGTTTTTGTGACTTAATACCTCTCAAATGAAAGGCATTTTTCAGAAATGGGATGGAGTTTCTAACAAACCCTTTCATTTTTATTGTACACAGATTAAGTTTTTTAATTGTTCCGGTTTAATTGTCCACACATGAAAAATTAGCTTTGGTGGAAGACTTTGTTCCCCTGATTTTTTCATTGGGATGTGTTTATGTTTCTTTTCAGGGATGCAGTTGGTTGCTCTTGTTGATCCTCTTGTTCTATTAATGCATGAGATAAAAAACCTTTGGGTGGGAGTAAAGGAATGTAATTGATCCAAACCAATGTATCTCAACGTGGAGAGAAATTTAATTTCCTGTCAAAAATAAATTTTGGGGTGTGAGTAACAATATATTCCAACTGCAATGCAGTAGAACATAGATATAAGCTAAGATTTGTTGAAAAGTCAGATGTTCTCCCGTAGCTCAAAGCACAAAATTCCAATCTAATTATCTGCAAATATTTGGTTTGGGTGTCATATTAAAAACACAATAATAAAGAGGGTCGATAGAGTGTATTTATCTGACTGATCTTGTCTTTTTGCTGTGCCTTCTCGCTGCCCACTGTCACAGGACACCCCACTTTCTGTCCCTTTATTGCCAAGGTTGGTTTGCATGAAGGCTGTCCAGGATCCTGCAGCTTCACTCAACGTGTTTGTGTGCAAATATCAGCTCCTTCCTTGAGAAATGCTCTCAATTCCTGCCTTTCCATCGGGAATTCCAAAGCACTTCCCACCCAGCTGCCACAATCCCACTGGAGCCGCATCCTGTGGCTACCGAGGCTCACTGGGGACCAGCCCCTGTGTTGTCTTTGTGTTCCCTGAAAGGCAGAAAAAGTGGGAAGACGTTGCAAAGGCCCTGGGAATTTTGTATCAGTGCTGTATTTCTGGCTGAGGACAGTTTGATAGAGCTGCTTTCAGCTTGTCACAGCTGTCAGCCTCCCAGGGCTGCCTGGGAAGAGGGAAACCATCTCTCCCTTTGCTGCATGTGAAGTGCTTTCAGATCCACCCTGGAATGCAAAGGAGGAAGCTGGAGAGGCTCATCTGACTTGCATATCAATCCTGCTGTATCCATTTTAAACTTAATTTTACTCGAAACTGTGTTTGATCCGTTGTGCCGTTGACAGCTGCAAGATCCTTGGTTATCCAGTGGTAAAATGTAACCACTTGTGCAGGAATGAAAGTGTAAAAAAGAATTTCTGACAAATCCTGACACTTCTGCTGTGTTTATTCGTAGCCAGGTTGTGCAGGATCTGCAGTCCCTGGCTCAGCTGAAGGTGAGTGCTGAAAAAATAAACTTCCCACTGTTTTCTTCTCGTGAAGCCTGTAAATAAAGACAAGTAAATTCACTGTTTTCACTCTCAAGCACCAGTAACTCCTGCTTTCATGTGAAGAATTCAGATTTTAGTATAAGAACCTGACCTCTTAGCTACATTCTGTGTACAGTTCTGGGATTTTTTTGTTGCTGTTGATGGGACTGAAGTGCATCCTGCTTTGTTTATGGTATGGAAGAAATGGTCTCACCATAGAAACAGCTCTTTTGAATCAATTTATCCCTACTTATGGGAAGGAATTCTCCTGTTTTGCTTTGGTTTGGTTTTTGAAACACAGCTAAATAGTCACTGACAGATCAGATTGTTAATCCAGAGCTCAAATTAAATGTCTTTTCACTGGGTCTGCATATACAATGATAGTTTGGAGGGAGTATCTTCCTTCCCTCCTTCCTCTTGCTGGAAAATCTTCCTTTAGACCCATTTAGAGGGATTATTAAACAGTAATGGAAGCACTTTCTATCTTTGGCTTAGCTTCTGGAGAAACAAATATTGTCTATTTCCAGTTTTTCACCAAATGTCTTCCATTTCCGATTTTTTAGCATCCCAATTCCAACCATTGACTGAGGAAATGCTTCTGACTGTACCCAGGCACATCAGGAGATCTGTCACATTAGCAGACTTGAACTCTTTGTACAGGGAGTTATTTAACCACTTTGTAGTGAATAAGAACAAGTAAGACTTAAAGCCACTCTTTAGCAAGAATTTTATAAGCTCTGAAGAAATTCAGCCTGTTTGAAATTAAACAAACTCAAACAGTTAACCATTCACTGCCATATTATAACTTTATAATGTGATTTTACTCCCCTTCCTGCTTAGGTACACACCCCAAAGTGTTAGACCATTACACAAACCCCCCCGAATTAATTTGTGTAAAAATGCTTTGATCATTCTCAAAGCTTGCATTTTAGGTTCTTCAGACTTTTTCACTTCGTTTTTGCTGTACAAATGTCCAGGTCTGGGGCTGTTCAGGGAAGTTTTGCTGACACACTCCTGCTGCCAGGCCCTTTTAGTGTTCAGAATCTGCAGCCAGACTGGAAAAGCAAAGCCCTGACACTAAACCACGACCCCCAAGCCCTGCCCTCCCCTCACCAGCCCCTCCTGCCTCTCCAAGCCCTGACCCCTCCCTGGAATGTGCTGTGTTTTTCTTGCAAACTGAGGTTACAAACAAACAAGTTTTTAACTCGGGAATTCTGTCTCTTTAACCCTAAGGCTGGGTTAGCAAATGACTGCTCTGATTTGAAGTAGCACAGGAAGGCTGATGGTATAATGAGGGTGAGATTTACGGAGCACTCACAAAAATCATTCATTATGTGCTTTTTAGCCTTTTTCTGCCTGTTTGATCCCTGTTTTGGTAAATAGTTTGGTTTTGTCTTACAGGGCAGCACTGAGTATTTCACAGGTGGATGAGTACGAAACCCTCTCACTCAAGACTACAAGTCCTGGAAGAACTTGGTATTGTGAAAAGCAACAAAAAAGGGGATATTGAATTAGTTGTGTAAGTGAAAGCTCGGCCCCTTCTCGTCTGAGACACAAAAGCACCTTGGTCACAGCTCCTGGATTACGAAGGAACAAGTATTTCCCTGGGATCTAAGAGCTGCTGAAAGTGCACTGTTGGAAAGTTGTAATGTTTCTGTGCACAAGTTCTGTTTCTAGTACTTAAAACTGGAGAGTTAAAAACCACTGAGGTTGGCATTTTGCCTTGGATATTTATAGGCCTGTGGCTGATGCATTTTTGAAGAGTGTTACGAGCCATGTGACATTTTCTTGCTCTCGTTCTTCAGCGGGTTTTTAACAAGTAAGCCAAGCCTCTTAAGTGTACTTACATTCCTGAATAAATGATGAAAGCTAAGGAGATGCCATGGATTTATTGTACTTTTGTGTACGTGACTCCAGACCCTGTGCCTTGCCCTGACCCCTGAACCTGGGCCCTGACCTGCTTAATTTTCCTGTGCCGTGAACTCCCTTGGGTTTTTTGGAGTCCAGGGAAACAGGAGGCTCACAGAGTGGCCGAGATTGGAAGGGACCTCTGGAGACTGTCCAGTCCAACCCCCTGTCAGAGCAGGGGCAGCTGCAGCAGCTCCCTCAGGGCAGCATCCTGAAAAATTCCAAGGATGGAGAATTCACCACCTCTGTCAACGCTGTTTGACCACCCTCACAGTGAAAAACATATGCAGGATTTTTTTCCCTACATGTTTCATATTTCTATATTTATTTCGACCTAATTAGAGGATAAGATATTCCAACTTTTACCAAGTTCCTGGGGGATTTTGGGAAAAATTATATCTGTCAAAGGAGAGGAATTTAAATTAGTGCTCCTGGGGAGGGGAAGGCTGATTTCTGAACTCATTCATGAGCTGGTTTAGGGTTTGATGGGAAGAGGAACAGCCTAGACACTGAAGAAAAAAGGGAAGGAAAGAAGAGGGATAAGTTGCTTTTGTGATGCCTGCTGCCAAGTGTGCCCTTTTACCTACACATAATTAACCAGTTTGACAAACTGATTTGATAGTTAAGCATTTAATCATATTCATCAGTTTTCAATAGAGGGCTCGATCCCGTCACTTGCGCCAGCAGTGTTAAATATTTAATTTATTAGCGACCCGTGGCTACAGTAATCGGAGATACCCGTCAGCGGGCAAACAGCTACAGCACGGGCGACAGCTGCTCCGCTTTTTAGAGCCGTGCGGGCTGTGGAAACCCATCCCTGCTCGTGAGCTGCGTAAAGCAAAAAAACACGCGTCAAACTCTTCCTTTGGGCACCGAAGAGCCGCCGGTTCCCTCAGGGGCGGCCGCGCCTCCCGCTCTCCCCTCAGCGCGGCCCCGCCCCCCCCGCGGGCGGCCCGGCGCATGCGCACTGCGGGCGCGGGGCGGAGCGGCCGCGCTGCCGCGGTCACGGCCGGGCCGGGGCGCGGGGCTGGGGCGCTGTCTCCGCCCGCCCGCTCCTCAAACCCCGCGGAGCCTCCACTCCTTACCCCGGGCACGGAGAGAGAGGGCCGGGGACAGCCGTCCCCGCGCCCGCCGCCGGCGGGGCCGCAGCCATGGACGAGCAGAGCGTGGAGGTGAGCGGCGAGCGGGCGGCGCGCGCGTCCCCTCAGGGGTCCCCTCAGGGACTGCCCGCAGGGGCTCCTCGCACCCTGCCCGGTTCACCCCTCGGCGGGGGCTCCGTCGCGGTGCGAGGGGGGATAAAAAAGGCCGCTCGGCAGCGGCTCGGGTGCGCAGGGAGGCAGCAGGTGGGGATGTGGGAGGAAATGAGCTGCGGGAGCAGCGCGGGTGCCAGTTCCGGAGGTGGATGGAGGGACGGATGGAGGGATGGAGACCTGGCGCACGCACAGCCCGCCTTGGCACCGGGCAGGGCTCTCTGTAACCCGGCAGCTCGCACACCTGCTGTGGGCTGAGAGCAGCCAGACCGGGGAAGGGTTTGAAAGACCATCTGTGACGACCTGCTGTGTGTTGCATTCCAATGGTTTGCCCCTGTTAAAGAAGGCGGTGTGTACGACCTACTGTGATATCTGTAAATTGAATGTGCATCTTGCTTTTGTGCCCATTCGTAATTTCAATGCTGTGGGGAAAAATGTAACCCTCCTGAAGAACCTTTGAAAGTTCCATAGTTAAAACCATGACTCCTGTATAATGCAGAATGTAGAACTTCTTTAGCAGTTAAAAGTCTATCAATATGTAAAGCAAACTTTTTTTTTTTTTTCAAAATACCTGTCTCGTTTGGGGAATGGAGAGAGGTGAGGTGGTTGTATTGAAGAACAGAACGGTTCTCTCTTCAAATGGGTGTAGCAAAAATCGGTTGGGTTACATTTTTATCACCCAAGATTGGTTAAATAGGGTGGAAGAGAGCTAATGGTAGACCATAAAAGAATGTAAATCTTATAAAAGTAAAAAAAAAAAAAAGTGCCATTCAACTCAGTCCCTCTCATTAGCATTCTGTGTGTCACATACATGCACTTACCATGATTTTGAATGAGTTTGGTGCCTGTCCAGTGACACTGGTGGGTGCAGTGCCTGCAGGTGCAGCACAGCTTCTTCTGGCAAGTGTTCAATCCCTGGTGAGCTCAAGCAGGAATGATATCCTGGCCCCAGGAAGGCCTGCTCCAAAAAAAAAAAAAAAAAGATGAGGCAAACAGAGAAACTATTCCTTGAAGGAGGAGGATATGAAATGGTGCAGAGGAGGAGAGCCCCGGTGTCGAGGTGGTGCCTCGCTCGGGGATGTGCTGTTTGGGGTGGAACTGAAGCGAAACCTGGCGCTCTGCCTGGAAAACAAAGGCCACTCTGATGTGTTTGAAAGCCTGTGGTTTAACAATGGTGATAATCCCCCCTTTGCAGAGCATTGCCGAGGTGTTCCGATGTTTTATTTGTATGGAGAAGCTGCGGGATGCTCGCCTGTGCCCCCACTGCTCCAAGCTGTGCTGCTTCAGCTGCATCCGGGTGAGTTCGCTTCTCACAGTTTATTTCTGCAAATGTATGAGCTGAAAACAGGCTGATCTTGTGAGAACGTTCTTGTTCCTTTTGCTGGAGTTCCAAGGATTCCTTTTTCCTCCTCTGTGCTCCTCAGTTTCCCTTTCAAACACTTTTATAACACCCTGAGGAAAAACTAGGCGGGCTGTGCATTGCGTTCCGTGGTGCTAATTATAGGGACCATCTGGAATAAGTGCTGGTAAGGAAGAGACACACAATGATTCCTTCTTTAGCATCTCCTGAGAGTCTGTGGTGCCTGTGTGGAAGACAAAAGTTGGGACAGGAATCAGGTGCTGACTTTGCATCTGGGAAGGTCATAACATCACCTCTTGTATCCTGGAGATGATTTATAATGTTCGTCAGACCAGCATGATGTGATCAGAAGGGGCTAAATCTTTCTCAGAGGAGTCTGGGGCACCACCAGAATCTCAGTTAGTTTAAGGTGATGGTTACCAGTGTATAACACCTCAGTTCCAAACCAGCTGCAGTTATGTGTTGGTGTAGCAGGAGAAGGTTCAGCTGAGGTTTCCAGCCCTCCAAGTAGTATTTCCAGAAACTGGAACAGACATTCATCCTTTGCTTTGAAAGCTCTGACAAGAACTGTAGGTGAAGGATTCGTGCTGCATATTAAGAGTGTTGGATGACATATTGTTGCTGGGTGGTGAGAGATTATTCATGAGAATCTTTAAATGTAGTAGTGAGCTGACAAATATAAACCCATCAACTGCTGAGCTCTTACACTTGTGAGTTGTAGTGGGCAGGTGAAGTTCTTGCTCAGCTGTTTGTCTCTGGAGCTTTCTGGAAGAGAAACATTCACAGGTCCTTGTGGATTTGATCATTGAACTGCAAGTATTTAACTGGCCTATAAATAGGAAGGAATAAGTTACCTTGAAGACTAATTAGACTCTGAAAAATAGGCTTGTTGTACCTTTTGGTTTCCTCTATTGAAACATGTTCTGAGACTCCAGGAATCTGCCAAGTGGGTGGTTTCTAATGCAATATTTGGTACCTCAGAATTCTCTGTGTAATTTTGACTGAAGCACCTTTGGCATCTAAGAAAAGTGCTTGCTTGTTACTAAGGTACAAATAGCAGCTTCTTCTGTGACTAAGTGGTTAAACAGTTAAATCTGCTAATAAAAGGAAAAAATAGAGGAAGACCATAATAAAAATAAGTAACTCCTAATTAATGATAGAGTGTACTTGCCTGCAGTTCTTTTCTTACAGTCCCTCTAAAAAGGTTTTTCCTCTTTCCATCACAGCGTTGGCTGACTGAACAAAGAGCTCAGTGCCCTCATTGCAGGTAAGGTATTTTTAATATCAGAAACAAATTATCAGGAATTGGCTGTACTATCCTGTTAGGATTGGGTTTATTTTTTTTTTTTTTCAGTGCAGGTTGCATTAAATTTATAAACTTGATTACTTTTTTTTTTTGGAGACCTGGCTGCTGGTACTATAAAAATTGGCCCAGGTATAACACTTACTGTAAAATACATTCTAGTTTTGTGACAGGCTAAGATCTTTGTTCTTCCCATGTAACACTGCTGTTTTCAGTGCACGTGGTTTGTGTAGTAAGAGTAACTAGATGGAATTCCTCTTAGAACTCTTTATATTTTTCTTATAAGAGTCAGAGACCAGAAGCTTCACTGTTCAGACTGAACTGTGTCCTTTTTTTGTCCTGTAATTTCTATGATATCAGGCAGCTGCTCTGTGTGGCCCTGGGGGGGTTCATTGTGGTTCCCACCTCTCCCCAGCCCCCAGACGGGCAAATCGACTTAAAAACTTCTTTTTTTTTTCCTGAAATAACTAATACAGCTTCTGCTTTTTTTTTTTTTTCTTACCTGTGACTCTTCTGGTAGTGTAGAACTTCAGAATTCACTTCAGTGCTTTTCCTTTATCTCCTGGAGCCACGTTGTTGCTCCTGCTCTGCTGTGCTTCTTGCAGGGCCCCTCTGCAGCTCCGGGAGCTCGTCAACTGTCGCTGGGCAGAGGAGGTCACCCAGCAGCTCGACACACTCCAGCTGTGCAACCTCAACAAGCATGAAGAGAACGAAAAGGACAAGTAAATGGAGCATTCTCTGCATAAAGTGTTCTGTGGTTTGCCTCACAGGAGTGGGATTTTAGTTATCAGGGAACAAGCTGATAACTTCCACTTGCTGAGAAGCTGAGTTGTGCTGTCGTTTCTGTCACGCTGCGGTGTCTTTGCCTAGGAAGTTGTTATTTCTGGTTCTGCTCAACACATTTAAAATGAAAGATGTGGGAAACATGAAGGGCAGGAATACTTCTAAAGGCTCTCAACCCTTCTCAGTGACCAGATATCTGAAATAAGTCTTATCTCAGTGGCTTGTTCATTTGGCAGTAAGTCCCAGTAAGACTGTGCCTGCTGATTTGG